ATGAAAAAATAAGAGGAAAAAAAGGGAGGAGATGTCAAAGAGAGGAAAGAGAGTGTAGAGAATGGCAAAATGGTATAAAGGAAAGTGACTGTCACATCATGGGCAGGTCTCTAATTATAGGTGTCAAATAGGACACTTTAGCCAATTATCTCTAAATAGTATTATGAAGTTGATGTGGTATTAGGATATGAATATTCTATCTCTTTTATAGTTATTTATGATTTTCTAGCTGTGATTTGTTCACAACTCCTTATATAGGATTAAGAGTTGCTATGGTTGATAACCAAACATTGCAATGCTTAACCAACGGTTTCAATGATTAACACTAAAATTTACAATGGTGTATCAATAAAGACTACAATCACCAACAATTGCAATGGTTCATCACAAAAAAATTTGCAATAGTTCATCACTAAAAGCCATATATATATATATATATATATATATATATATATAGTTTTGTTAATATATAATTTTTTTTATAATTACTCAACAAACTGAACTATCATAATATTTTTAGATATTTATAATAACAGTCATGATCAAAATTTTAATGTAATCTAGATATATAAATATATAAAACATATATCATATGTTCATGGATCATACATAATCAAATATGCACTTTACAAAACAAAAAAAAACATACTTTTCATCTCATAAAAGAAAACTAATACTAATAACTCATTATTTCATTTAAGTTTTTTTTTCTATTCAAATTTGAATGACCTTTCATTATATTTTTTTTTGTTGACAGTATGTCATTTGAAAATCTTCTAATAATTTGTAAGTACGTAACTGCACATAGTAATATTTTTTCTTTATTGTGTTAGATAAATTTGTGAAAAATTACAATGATAAATTTATTGATATAGACTATCGATAGATTCAAAGATCTACACGGAAAATCACAACTTTTAGATTTAATATAGTTATTTTAAGTTAGACCTTTACAATATAATATGAATAGAAACATCATTACAAAAAAACATTTATTGCATGCAAATATACACATAATTATAGAAGAAACATTTATTGAGATGTCTTAATAAATGTTTTTTAAAAAATTGTCTTTTATAATGAGAAGACAAAATTTGTAAAACTAACAATTTGAAAAAAACACTTATTGATTGGAGTATTTTAACTACTTTTAAATTGTTTTTTAATAGTTGCATGTTAGAGAAACAAAACTAATCTCAGTTTTTATCAAATGACATAACTCTTATAAAGAGAAAAAACAATCTTTAAACTAACAATTATAAAAGAAAAATTATTAAGATATTTTAACTACTTTAAAAGATGTAGAATCACACTTATTGGGATATTTTAACAAATTTTAAATATTTTCCCATAGTTGTAGGTTGGGAAAATAAAACCAATCTCTGTTTTTATGATAAATAAAAACTCTTCTAATGATAAAATACAACTCTTAAAATTAATAATTGTAAAAAGATATATTTTTTAAAAAAATCCAATAATTACATGTTGGAAAAACAAAACTGTCTCAGTTTTTATGAAAAGACACATTAATTGTTAGGATGAGAAGATACATACTTATATATTTTGACAACTTTTTTTTTTTTAAGTAATGCCATTTTCAATATGAAAATACACATTGTTAGGATTAAAAGTTACTACATTTGACATTTATTTGGAGAAAATATACACCTTTGGACATTATGACAATTATTTAGCATATGCAATTTTTAGTATGAAAATATGCATCCTTATACATTTTAACAACTTCTTTTAAATCAATGCTATTATTAAAATGAAAAGACACATTGTTAAGATGAAAAGATATATACTCATATATTTTAACAATATTTTTAAAGCAATGTCTTTTTAAAAGATGAAAACACACATTGTTGAAACGAAAGTTATAACATTTTAAGTATATTGAATGAATATTTTCAAGAAGAATTTTTGGGATATTTCAACTTGTTTTAAAACTAATTAAAAAATCACAGCTCTTAAAATTAATACATTTTGGAGATGATATTGAAGACACATATAATTTGAATTTTTTTAATGTGACTTTTAAGATAATGCAACACACCTCTTAATATTTGAAAGATACTTTAAGATACTTTAACTACTTTTTAAAACTAATTAAACAGACATAGCTACTCAAACAAATACATTTTTTTAAGATGATGTTGAAAAGACACATCTATAATTTGACAACTTCTTTTCAATTAACACAATTTTTTAATACGAAACAACACAATCTTTACATTAATTAGGATTACTATTATCAATACTATTAATAGGTATATGGAAACATAAATTAAGATTGGATGGCATCGTAAAATTAGGAAAAATGTAGGCCGAAAATAGAAACTATTAATTGTTTTTAATGGTATCACTGCGGTATGCGTCATATAAAACATTCGGTTTATAAGTTAAGTAGAAGCAAATAATACAAAAAATTTGGATGAAATCATAATATACTTTTGTAAAAATATTATGTATGATACAAATTTCCAAAAAAAACATTTGATTGTTTTGAAAGAATAGGAAACCTATTTTCCATACACTCAAAAATAGCAAAACCGTAAATTCATTGAATTTCTACAAGAAATAAAGAAAATATGATAAGATATACAATTCTAATTATATATAGTTTTTTATTGGATTTCACAGTTTACAATTTAAAATGGGATTAAATATATTTACATATATCAACGTCGGCCACCTAAATTTATTTTTAGCATAGAACTTTATATCTTTGTATTTAACTTGACCAAATGAGTATCTAATCCAGTTTTCAGGAAGATACAGACATTTGATAAAACATTCAATATTGTAACTTTTAAGTGATTTTGATTTTACATGAAATAGAACATTTATATCGAAATTTAAGTCATGTTTGACGATCAAATCACTTGTGTTATTATTGTATTGGTTTTCAGGAGCATTTGTGTTATTAATTATTGTGTTGATTTCATGTTTTACAATATAAAACGAATAAAAATACACTCACATAGTCACATATATCAACGTCGACCACTTAAATTTATTTTTAGCATAGAACTTTATATCTTTGTATTTAACTTGACCAAATGAGTATCTATCTAGTTTCTAGGAAGATACAGACATTTGATAAAAACATTAAATGTTGTAAGTTTTTTCAGTGATATGCAGTCATATTTGATGATCAAATCCAGAAGTAGCCTTAGGGTCAAACAGTATTTACCCAGCTGCTGCCTGGAACCCTACTCAACTTCTTCTTCTTTATCATCTTCTTCATCCTAACAACACTTTCCCAACTACCAGCATTGGCATACAAACTGGACAGAAGCAATCTATTCCCTGAGTTCTCTGGTTCAAGCTCTGCTAAGTGCTCTGCTGCAACCCTTGCAAGCTCCATGTTCCCATGATTCCTACACGCACCTAACAAAGTACCCCACACAAACAAATCAGGCTCCATTGGCATAGCCTTGATCATCTCATAGGCCTCAACAAGCTTCCCTGCTCGTCCCAAAAGATCCACCATACAAGCGTAATGCTCCAACCTCGCCTCGATTCTGTACTTGTTCTGCATCAAGAGAAACAACTCTTGTCCAAGATCAGTTAACCCGCCGTGGCTGCAGGCTGTAAGGATGGCCGTGAATGTTAAGTGGTCGAGTCTCTCTCCCGTGGCTTCCATCTGTTCAAACAGCTCAACTGCTTTCTCTGAGAGCCCGTGATTCGCATAGCAGAAGATCATGGAGTTGAAAGTAACCGTTGTCTTCTTGGTAGTTTTGTGAAACAAGATCATTGCTTCTGATATGAATCCGCATTTCCCGTACATATCGAGCAAAGCACTTCTAACGAAACCGTGACCTTCAAGTCCACTAACTACTGAATAGCCGTGAATCTCCTTTCCATACTTCACATTTGCAAATGTAATACAAGCAGGTAAAAGGGTAGTGATCGTAGCTGAGTTTGGATACAACCCATTACTTAACATCAGTTTAAAAGCACCAAAAGCTTTAGCATTCTGAAAGTTATGAACAAGGCCTGATATAATAGAGGTCCATGACACAACGTCAGGCTTGTGACCATCCAAACACATCATCTCAACAATCTCAGATACTTTTCCGTCATCTCCAATATGTGAGAATCCTGCAATCAAAGCATTCCACGTGATGATATCAGGTTTAATCCCCACTAGTTTCATATCCTCCACCAACTTCAAAGCTTCATCAGCTTGTCTATTGTTAGCATAACCAGAGATCATAGCATTGAACACAACCAAATCTTGTCCAGACAAATCACTAAACACCTTCCTCGCATTCTCTACCTCCCCAAACTTCGAATACATATCAATAAGCGAACTTACTATAAAACCATCAGACTCAAACGAACACTTGAGAACCATACAATGTATCATCTTCCCAAATACTTGGTCAAGCAGATCACGACTTGCTTTAAGAACACTAGGAACGATGAAAGCATCAAGCTTTAAACCTTCTCCATTCATTTGTTTAAAGACATTTAAAGACTCTTGGTAATAACCGTTTCGAGAACAAGCCCCAATCATGACAACCCATCCACTAATATCTCTCTTAGGCATTTCATCGAACACCTTCTTTGCATAAGTAATTTCCCCACATTCCACGTAAAAGGACACAAGCTTAGCTGCAATTCTCGTCAAGCGAGCGATCCCGGATGTCACGAAGTGAGCGTGAAGCTTTCTTCCTTGGGACAAGAGTCGATCTCGACCGTTGGTTTCGATAAGTTCAACATAAGAAGATAACCGAAGAGAACAAGGAATGGTGGAGAATCTGTTCATGAATTTTGTATTAAAGTTTCAAACTTTATTAGAAACAGCATTACGGACTTTATCGGACAGAGAACGAAGAAGCAAGAACAGAGTTAGTTATACGGTAAGAACCGGTTTAAATTTTAACGGCTCATAAATAACCGGAAATCGGAGTATCGGGTTAAACTAAAACCGGGTTTGATTGTGGAAAACTGTAGGAAAGGCGAACCAGTGAACGAGAGAGAAGAGTATGTATGCAACATCTTCTTCGACTCTGTTTCCAACACCACAAAGTCTCTTTCTTTCTCCTCATCTTCCTCCAAGATCTTTCCTTTATCGGTTAAATTTTCCTGTAACAACTAACAAGTTGGTGCTATGGCGGCGGTTCGTTCTATAACCGAAGGAGTTGTGATCAAAGAGGGAGGAAATGGAGCATAGTAACGAAAGCTAGACTCTCTCCTTATGAGGTTCTTGGTGTGTCTCGTTCGGCGACACCTCAAGATATAAAGAGGGCGTACCGTAGACTAGCTCTCAAGTATCACCCTGATGTTAATAAAGAGGTACTTAATCTGGTTATTTATTTGGGAAATGATATTTGTATATATTGTTCCAAAAAAAAAACAAAACATATTTGTATATACATTCAAACTATATATTTGCACCTACTTGTAGTTAGTTGATGTAATTTACTTAGTCTCTTTTTGTATAGAAGAAAATAGAGGTGAGCACAAGTCGAATATTTGGCATTTTCGGTATACTTAGTACTCGGCTTAGCTTGTACGAGTATATAAATTTTGGACTTGTATTTAGTTTGTTAAAAACGCGTACTTGCAGTTTCAAGTACCTGCGAAAAATTGATGGACTTGCAAGTTATTTACCTTGTTTTATTACTTGTTATTTGTAAACTGTTTACAAATTACTTGATAGTTATTAGTAAATTATTTGATAATTAGTTAGAATTCAAAGGTAAATAAAATTATGATATATAAATAATATGTCATTGTTTTCATTCTGTTATTGTTTTTTCTGATTTTTAGTCATTCATGAAATAGATTATATTAGAAAACAAAAAAAAATCTAAAATGTGTATATAAATATATAACTTATGTTTGATTCACTTATAAAGATTGAAATATAAACGAGTTGTTTTACTGTGATTTAGAAAAAATGTATCTTTGTTCATTAACATAAACGGATAATAAACCAAACAACGCTAAAGAGTTAGTTTTATTTATTATTTTGTATTTGTTTGTAGTTGAAGACAGTTTAAATAGACTACTTGATACACGTCTTAATCAAAATATGTATTCGACTTTAAGGATCATGTACCAACCAAGTAGTAAACATGAGTCAAGTAACAAGTAATAGTGGCTATTCATAAAATACATAAATTTTAATTAATTAGTGAAATATATATATTAAGTATTTAATAAACTAAGTAATATATGACAAATAACAGGTAAATGATAACAAGTAATAAACCAAGTAGTTAAAAATTAAAATGAACTTGTTACTTGACTTGTATTTGCGAGTAATAAAATCCGTTTACTTGTTACTCGATTTGATTGGAGTAAATACTTGTTTTTCAAACCAAACCGAGTCAAGTAACGAGTACAAACCGAGTATCAAGTATTTATGTCCAGTCCTAGAAGAAAGTATGAATTATCTTACCTTATGTTATTTGGTGTGTACAGGCAAATGCACAGAAGTTTCTGAGGATAAAACATGCGTACACCACTTTCATAAACTCTGAGTCACGGCGTAAGTACGAGTCAGATAGTCGTGAGTCTGCTGGATATTCAGGTCCAACAAGCCGAAAAAGCAACAGTCAAGTCGACTAAGACCAGGTCCATCGGGGGATGGTAAGGGGGGTTCTACCCGAAATAAGGAGAAAAAATAAATGAAAAACACAATAATTAGAGAGAACCGCTACTTCAGGAAGAGAAGAAGAAGTGGTTAAAACCCCTGACGTGGCAGAAGCCTATTGGCTTGAAAAAAAAAACATGTCTCTCCCTTTGTTAGTCGGTTCTCTCTCACCGATTTCAAATTGTTCTTCTTTCTCTCTATCGCTCTTCCTCTTGGTCGTTGATCCGTTGAAATCTCCAACGGAGATGATGTCGATTCTGTCTCTCCGTCGTCGCTCTTCCTCTCCGTCGCTCTTCCTCTCCGTCGATTCTGTCTCTCCGTCGTCGCTCTTCCTCTCGTCGTCGCTCTTCCTCTCCGTCGTAGATCCGTCGCTCTTCCTCTCTTCATCGTCGAATCTGTCAATCCAACGGAGATCGGATCCCACGTGGAGAGATCTGACAGTGGAGAGAGCTTCAAGCGTGACATGAGAGAGCTCCAGGAGCTTTTATCTAAGCCTCACATGCATGGCTAAAGAGTTCGTCCCTCCTTCACTTAACAAGCAAGGAGGAGTTAATGGGTTTAATGGGTCTTCCTTCACTCGAGTTCTTCTTACCAGAAGGTACTTGTAGCTCTCTTACCTCCCCCATTTGAGTGTTTATGTCATTACCTCAGATTGGTACTTTGGTTTAAATCTGACTGGGCTGTATGAAAATGATTATTGGGTTATCATGATGATTGAATTTAGTTCAGGTGGTGATCAGTGTTCGGTTTCTTAGAATGTCTAAAGATTTGATCTTTAAGGGAGCACATGTGCTTACACGTTAATAGAACCTTTTATTTGGTTATATTCTTTTTTTATGGTGTGGTGTTTTTGGGTTTTGATACGGGATCATGGCGAGTTATAAAGTGTTTGTATTAGGGTGAAGAATCTGGCTATGTTGTGTAGAATTTTATATAGTGCTAAAATGTTTATGTGTCCAGAATCTAGAGAATTTCTATCTTATTGAGCTTTAGTGCCTGCAACGTCACTCAATTTGCTTTTCTACGGTGCCTGCCTAATTTATTTGAACTTGGTGATGTAGTCGATCCTTCAAGTGAGCCATTGCTTCTATTTCCCAAGAGGACATTCCAGCCTAGTACTATCAGGCGCAAACGGAACCATGGATTCTTTGCTCGGTATGTCTCTTTGTGTTAAACCTCCTTGTTTTAGTCTATAAAGTCTCGTCGTTTATATTCTTATGAAAAATCATTGCTCTTTCTCATTCTCAGTGGAGATATTTGTTGTTACGCGTTAATAGAAAGTAAGAAGAGAATTCATTATTCGTATACAAAGTCACTGTCTAGAATCTCTCTTTGATCTTTTTTTTTTTATTTTTATGAATCTCCAGTTATCAGATAGGCCGGATAATTATCTTCCTTGTGTCCTTCCAGGCTAGATAATCTGAAACTTCGATCTGTGTGTGGAGAGGTGCACCGTCTGAGGTTATGTTCTTTAGCTTGACTTTAGGTTATGTTCTTAAAGATTGTTGGTTTGGTTTTATGTATGTTTTTATTTTTAATCAATCTACTTTAAAAAAAAAAAAATTTAAAGAACCCCATAGAGGTTCTCCCATTGGAGGAGCACAAATTAATTAACCATAACAAAGGTTCTTAGCTAATCAAATCATCATATTAACAATTAATTTAATTATAAAACCCCGTAGGGGTTCTCTTGGATGGACTTGCTCTAAGACTCTATGGACTTGGTAAAATTAATCCTAAGAGGATGATTAAACTGGAATTCTTAAAATGAGGTTCTTAGCGAAAATTAAGAAATTGTTTCTTAACTTTTAACTAAAAAAGTTAAGAACCTTTTCTTGAATAAAGATTTTAAAAACCAATTCTTAACTTTTTTAGTTAAAAATTAAAAAAACAGTTTTTAATTTCCACTAAGAACTCCATCCTAAGAGCATCTCCAATGGTACCACCATTGGAGTCCTTAGTATTATTAAACTATTTTTTATTTTTTTTTAGAATAGTTAAGGACTCCCAACAAAATTGTATGTCTAATGGTGTTTTCCAATTTGAAATATTTAGGAATAAAAAAATATTAAATTTTAAAACATATAAAATTTAATTTTTTTTATTTATTACATGATTAAATATAAAGATACAATAATTATTAATCTTAATCACCAAATTTGTTACAAATGTTTTCAATTATATATGTATACATTATGTGTTCTTGAAAAAAAAAAGATGGCACCAATCAGACGCAGCCACATGTCTAAGGACTAAGTCCTAAAAATCCTTATATAAGTACTAATCCTTACTAATTTGCTTTAGTTGATAATATTTTATTCTGATTTATGTTGGTTTACGTGCTAAGGATTGGTGACAAATCACCATTGCATTTGCTCTAAGAACCTTGGATTAACCATGGTCTAATAGCATGATTAAAGGGGGCTCTTACCTTGGTTCTTAAGCATTGGCGCCCACGTTTTTGGCCAAACCCAACTCTTACTTCTCTTATGCAAGAGCTGCTCTTAGAGCATATTTATCAACAAAACCCATTTAAAAGTTCTTAACCACTAATGGTGAGGTCTGTCGTGACCAGATATTTTAATATGATTTCTCCACCTCTCCTTTTACCCATTCTTGTATCACACGTGGGCTAAGAGCCTTGGTTTGCACCTCCTAATTAAGCTACGTTTTTGTGTTTTCTTCTTTTGCTTTAATTTTTTTAATCCTATTTAACTTAAGAAATGTTGCTAAAAATCACCATTAAACTTGTTCTTAGCTTGGTTCTTAGACTGTTCACGAGTCCCACCGACACGTGGCAGTCCGCGCTTGGTTCGAATTTTTTTTTTCAGACCAAAAGATTAAAAAGAAAAAATTCCTAAGAACTTGTGCTTAAGAACCTTGGATTAAAGATGCTCAACCCCTACTTTTTTCTTTTTTTGTTCAACAACTAATCCCTGCTTACACCACTAAGTTGTAATGGAATGTGGTCATTCTAAGGATCCTGCTTAATTTGTGAAGTTAGAAACTTTCTTCTATGAAGCATACTGCTAAACTATGGCTTGACTTCATTATGCAGTTTTGTTTGGTCATGGGTGCAAGATGTATTCACGCAGTGTTTTTTTAGCAAAAATGCTAAACATGGTTTGTGAAAATGTGCATAATGTTTGGAAATTGATGGGAATTCTTTTTTTTTTTTGAATAAAATGTTAAATTTGATTAAAAGAAAATGTATTTTCTTACAACATTAGCTACTTTGTTTATTTAACTTGCCTAACAACCAAGATTTTGAGCTACTATGTCCCCACGGATGCGATCCAGTTTTGGAAAGCATTTTCCAGAGTCTTGTCTTGTGTCTTGATGGCTATAGTTCTGTTCTTGACTTGTCTGTTAATTTAATGTGAATTCGAGGCAACAATTGATGGCGCTAACGGCTGTGGTTATAAGTGTTTTGTCTTTGGGGGTGGGAGTTAGGTTGATTGAGGTCAGTGTGATCTTATGCACAGCACACTTTATCATGCATGTGAAATTGTGAAGGGTATTCAACTAACAATAGGTAGACGCAACCGGTGACCACGTCTAGAATGCAGAGATTTGTAGTTAATTATTCATTTTAGAGGCTCTCACTCACTCTATGTGGTAATTAATAATGGCAGGGGATTTCTTCAAAGATCTGGAAGAAGAGTTCAAGAACTGGGAAGCTAGTGCGTCCTTTTCACAAGGAACACCTAAAAAGTCTTTGGGAGGAACTTGCGGTAAGCCCCTATAATACTATCAAATTACTCGGGAGTCTGTTAAAGCTTTGATCTTTCCTTTGTTTAGCGGTAAAGGCTCTGACTCTCATGTTGTTAACTTGACATTTTATTCTCAGGAAATTGGGGAAGAATTTGTGGAGTTTCTTGAGAAAGAACTTAACATAAGCGATGAAGACAATGATGAACCAAGCAAAAAAGGAGAAAGATTTGATTTTAACGAAAGATCCTCAAGGGACAGGAAGAACAGTATAGAAGGGAATATTGATGAGATAGAAGCAACCCTAGCTCAACTCAAAAAAGATTTTGGCTTGCAATAACAATCTCAAAAGTTTCATGAAAAATGTTCTTATATTCTGATGTTTGTTTCTTTCAGCTAGTCCCTGAAAGAAGTGTTGAGCACATGTATTTCTTATAGAATACTTTTTCATGAAAGCAAAATATGTGTGTAGAGATGAGCTCATGATTTACATAAACATAACTGGAATAAAGAAAATTCATAACGAAAAAATACGGAACTTAATAGAGATGTAAGATCATGAGATAAAATGTGAAAAATGATCCTATTGAATCAATCTCGTCAGTTACAAACTCAGATATTTTCATGTATATATAGTAGACTATTGAATCAATCTCATCAGTTACAAACTCAGATATTTTCATGTATATATTGTAGACTAAACCGGAATAAACCAATCTTAAATTATATACAACATAAACCAATTCAACCCGGCTAATCTGACTTTGTTTGCTGAGAAACAAATGCACCTATAAATACGAATACCTAACTCCACATATCTCACACATCATTATTTTTCACTCACAAAAGATTAAAATCTCATTCTGTAGAATTAATCAGCGCATATGGCAAACGGTGATGATCCCTTCTCAATGTCTGCACTACTCGCTTCTTTACAACATCCACCTTTCACCTCCGCAACACTACCCATCACTCCACCGCTTCCCCCTCCTCCTACTCCACGTGGCATCCTCTTCGCCATTCCTCCTCCAAGATACGACGTCGTCGATCAACCTCCAAACTCATTCATTCCCGGCGGACTCTTAACTCCTCAGTACCCGGAGTCTCCTATGCACTCGATGTTCGACCTCATGACTGACAGCAAAGGAGAAGTCAACATGGGTAGGTTCAAAGAGATGATCTCAAGATTGTCCAAAAGAGAGTTTCAAGAAGTGGCGTCTCTGCTGACGTCAGACCCCGACTACTTCTTGGCGATCGCAAGAAACAAGAACGGCTCCTACCGGCTACAGAGCCTCATCGGAAAATCACACGACGCTGACAACTTATTCTTCGCCGCGATCTTGCGCAGGTTCCTCCACGTCATGACCGATAGGTATGCGTGCCACGTGGCGACGCGGGGGATGCGAGTTTTCGACGACGAGAAGAAAGAGTTGATGTACGAGCACATGATTCTCCCACACGCGCTTCGACTGGCGTGTGACAAACACGGATGCATCGCCCTCAACGAGATCATAACCGACTCTGACCATCCTTTCTACAGAAGCCAGCTCTTGGATATAGTCGCGGACAACGCTCTCTTCCTATGCAACGATGCGTCAGGGAACTATGTGGTCCAACGCGTGCTTACGCTGAATGACTTGCGTTGCACGCATAACATTGCGGTTAGTCTTGTTGGCCGTTTCGTTGAGCTATCGTCTAACAAGTGTGGAAGTTACGTCGTGGAGAGGCTTTTGGAGACGGAGGAGTCGATGGTTCTTGTGGTGGAAGAGCTTTTGGAGTGTGATGGAGGTAGGTTGCTGCGGCTGGCGAGGAATGAGTTTGGGAGTTTCGTGGTGGTCAAGGCACTGAGAGTCACGCAGGAGGAGAATATGTTTGGGGGTTATCTGTTTTGGGGTTTGGTGGATAAGCTCATGCCTTTTGTCCATCTGTTGCGTAGGTCTTGTGGAAGCACTAGTGTTGCAGCAATCATTGAGTCGGTTTCTGTGGCAAACTAGTTAATTATGTTTATCTGATTTCAGGGTTTAGATTTGGTTCATGTTACTATGATGCATGCTTGAAAGTTCTCGCTTTTATGGTTGGGTTAGTTAACTCTTCTAGTGAGGTTTGTCACTAATGATGTACACAATCCAAATGGTTGCTTGCTTACTGCAATCTATAGTTTGACTAAAACAAGTTTTCAGTTATTCAACTGATCAATGCTTTTATATAAACGTACAAGAGTTGAATCACACAAAAACAGAATTTGCAAGAGTTTCGAAAACACAGAGAAGAAGCTAAACATAGGTCACTAGCATCTTGTATTCTATCGTTTATGTTATAAGAACATTATTGAAAGCTGAAGCACTCACAGCAGTTTCCATAAGGACGCCTTGCCTTCTACATACATTTCCTCTGAAATTTCAAAACAACCATGAAAAAGTGAAGAGGATTGTTAGTGTTTTGGATCAAACACTTTACCTTCATCTGAATGAAGTGGAAAAAATTCCTTTATAGCTCATAATAAATACCATCTACGGAATGGCTCAAGTAACAGATGCAAAGAGATAGCAAACAAGTGTCAAGAATAGGATGATTATCCTAAAAACTCTCCCAAACCCAATTATCAAGACAGCGCCGCACACCACCTTTCTCGGCGCCGGAGAGGCCTTTGGCCGCCGGCGTCGGGCCATTTGCTCTTCGCCGTCCTCTGCTTCCTATTCCGTAATCTTCAGTCACCTCTGTTTCTCTGCAACCATGGTCGACAAGCTCTGTTTCAGTCCGTTAGTTACCTTCAGCTACTGGTTTCGTTTCAGGGTCGTCTCCTACGGCTCGTGTCCTATGGTTTTCTTCGAAGATCCACTCACCAGATCTGTCCGGATCCTTGTACCTGTGAAGGTAGCATATGGGGCTCAGACGGAAGTTCTTTCGCTCACCGCTACCATTGTCCTTCCTACTCGAATCCTCGGCGTCGCTCTTCCCTGTGGAAGCACAGCCACCGGATCTACCTTCCCCGAGCTTGAGCTCGCTAGATCTGGAGTGTTGTGTAGTTCTAAAGCGTCTCCCAGATCTGTTCTCGCTGAGTTTCCTATCTCCACGGTATTGACTCCTTCAACACTCTCAAGAAGACACTCTTCTAGATCCAAGCCGGGTCCGCAGCAACAACGAAAGCTTCAAGGACTCTGGTTTATACCGACAAGTCCAACCGGACGTGATGGAGTTGTTCCGTCATCTTTCGCTGGAGTTTTTATACGACCAAGACCCGATGCTCTGTTCCGGTCATCCAACAACGACTCAAATGCGTTCAGTTCAATTGGCTTTGTGGTTTGTTTTGTCAGATATATCTTGGTAATACCTTACTGGTCCCGACACGGTAATGTCGAGGTACGAAGTATAGGACTGAGTTCAATGTCCACTCCGCCACAAAAGTTCAATAGTTTTAGAGTCTATATGAAGATAAAGATGTCTCCTTTCTCAGATTGTTCAACCGTTACGACCAGGGTTCACCTAGCCCAAATCAGTGATATTGTGTTCAAGTTGAAGACTATATTTGTTCAGTCATCACAGGTCAGTAAAGTGTGTAGTTGCTCTACTACTGTAACTAGCACTATCCGGTTCCTTAGTTCATCCTCTCTGTTCGTCAGCGCCAAATCCAGGATTGTTATATCCGCCTTTTGTGTTGAGATTCACCTAGTCTCTTCAAGGAGTCTTTTCATTGGAGCTAGAGCTTGTCTTGCTCGTTCCGCATCTTGCCAAGCTTTGCAGCTTGGTCAATTCAACGTCGCTTGCGACTATTTCATGCTCGGGATAACCTATTCAAGGATGCATCTGAAGATTTTCCATGGTTCTCCATCTATCGAGCAAGCGTCTCTCGTAGTCTTTGTTTATCTCTTGTTCTCCTTTTACGCTCTGCTTTATGTTGTTCATCAAACCGTTGAGAATCCCTCCGGTTCTATCTTTTCGGATGTAATCGTTTGAACCTTTTAGATTAATATAATCGTTTGTGTGCCAAAAAAAAAAAGAGATAGCAAACAAGGCCATGGCAATATAGTTTGGGAGTAGATGATCTCTGTTTTTTCAAATGCTTTTTTCTTTTTTAAATCAAGTTTCAGTCTCAATTTTCTCTTTCTACGAAACGGATGCTCCTTGATTGTACAAAAGTTTTTTTTGAAGTGAATAAATTTAAAATTATTTCCAAAAAAAGAAACAGCTATGCAATCATGAATTAACATTTGATGACATTTACAGTATGACAAAAAATTTGCAGTAAATCTGAATTAACAAATTCAGAGAAATCATATTCATTTTCTAATTCAGCTCCCAAACAGTAAGATTATATCTATATATATAAAGTAAGGTTCTCCCTCTTTTGAGAGTGCCACCTAGATAAATAATGTCATAAGAAACTGCCACGTGTTGCCTCATCTTAAAAATCTATTGCCTTTTGTTTTTTAAAATGGTTTCGGACGAAACCTTATCTGTTTTTAAATTGGGCTTTTCAAATATGTATGTCAAATGCTAGGCCCGTCTCGCATGTATCTTCTTCGTGTGTTAAAATATCTAGAGTTTCATTGGTGCATCCAAGATCTGCTACCGTCAACCAACAATGGCGGTTCAGAATTTGGATCTGCTATCGTCAACCAACAATGGCGGTTCAGAATTTGTGTGTGCGTCGACGCATCGATCTCCATATCCGTATCTGACGTTTCGGTTTCTATTCTTCACCTCCCAATCGTTACAAATCAAATTGATTGAATGTCGTAAATCAAAACTTAAATCTTCATCCCTTCTAGAACCACGATCTTGCATTCAATGATTATTATCCTTCATCAAGTCGGTGATTATAACCTATAAAAAGGTAAGGATTCATTCCTTTAGCATCTATCCTCACAGTCACAGTTCCTATTCTCCAGAGTAATTTTATTTTCAGTATAACGGCAGCCTTAAACTATCTTCCTCTCTGTTTTGAAGGTTGGGCGTTGTTCTTCCATGGTGACAGTAAAGGTGCCATTGCACAGAATCTGGGAAGCAAGAAACGGTGGAGTGACTCAGTCTCATTTATTGGTGAACATCTCTCACTGTTTCTCCTCCTGCCGGTTCTTTATCATTCTCTCCTCTATACCCTAATGCTTAGTAAAATTTATATTCTTCTCCTTTACACTTCTTTGCTTATGGTTTATTCTCACTCCATATTTGCTTATTGTTTATTCTCACTTCATACGAGGTTGTTTCTTACTCATAGGGTATATGCTCTCTTCATATCTCAAGAAAAAACTCAATGGTGGTTGAAGAGAAGTTTAATTTTTTGTTTTGTTTTTATAACTAAAGAGAAGTAGATTTCATCTCATAATTTTCATTGAATTTTTTTCCTGCTGATATTTTTATCTGACTAGGGTTGGATACACATGAATTTGAAACACTCAGCTGTTGTTTTTCTTTTATTTTTTTTAGTTTTGTTTTTATCTTTTAGAGTGGAAAGAGATGCTCATTCTTTTCAGTTGTGCATTCTATTTTCTAATTTCTCTACGCTAGGAATTTGCTGAAACATCTGCAAAAAGTGCATTCGGTTTGTGAGTGCAACAAGGGATGGCATTAGTGTTGAATCCAATTTGTATTTTTTAAAAGCCTTTGGTTAGTGTACTTACGTTGGATCTTTTGAGGATTGTGCACTAATTAACAGGTGGGATTATAGCAGCTCTTATTTGATTAAGGACATGATGACGGATAAGGATTACAAAAATAAAGAAGAATATTATATGGTTTCATATAGCAGCACTATAACTTATCTCTAAGCCCCACTCACAAACAACACCTACTACAACTTCAAGTCCAACTGCAGAGATTGGGCTTAGAACGCTATCCATGCGCTACATGTTAATGTAACGACATTTTCAGACAACAGCGAAAACATGATAGCATCAGCAAACCAAATACGGTGACTACTAAACCACAAAGGACACGCTATCAATCTTCAACTTTCTATCTTTGTACTAATTCCAACAGTTAATGTATAATCAGTGATGTGGTACGATAATATGTTGTTTGTGACTATTTTGGACTGAGTCTATTTAAGAGCCAAAACTTATATCTTCATAATTTGTTTTTGGTGTAACAATATCTTCATATTTGCTTGACTCTTTTGAGAATTACAATCAAGAGGAAGAAAAGAAAAGATTATGCAACAATTGCTTTTTACTGGCTCTGTCTGAGAAGTAACAGAAGAGGTTTTACCAACAACAGCAGAGGACAATGAGAAGAGAAATACAAACAACATGGATGCTGAGTTGGTTCCATAAATTGTACATTTCTCTACATTTCTCTAAACCAATTGGTCAACCGAACAATTTAACTATGTTTTACTAAAAAAGATTTATGTGCTTACCAAAGTTTTTTTTTAACTTAACAAAAAATATGTTGGTTTAAATTCTTTTAACGTAAAGAAAACTTATCTTCTGTAGCATCAAAATCTGCATATTATAATTTAAAAGTGCATCTATTATATTACTTTATATTATAGAAATAGGCTATAATAGAGAATTAATATCATAGTAATATACTTTAAAAATATGAAGTGTTACTTAATACGAATATAATATGCAACATATCTCTTGGATAAAATATAATATTATGAAAATAAAAACAATATTTACTAAAAAATGTTTACTTAATAAAATTATGGTTATTGTTTAAGGAAATAATAAAATAATTATATATAAAAAATATAAAAAATCATATTGAAAAGGTAATCAAATAAAAATATAAAAAAGCCATGTATACTCTAAAACTAACAATAATATTGTCTAAGACTCTTAATCAATCTGGATTATATGGTTTATTTGATAAAGTTTTAATAAAATGTGTATATTCTTAAATAATCAGTTTTGTATTGTTATGTTATTTAAGTAACTTTAGAAAACAAGTTTTAAATCAATTTATTTATCACATTATCTAAATACGTAGAAAAAAGCATCAACGGAACCAAAAAACATTTGTCGCAACGGAAACATCAAACTCAATT